ACGAAAGCCTTCCATATTGTATTCCCAAAGGTCAAAAAGTGCATTTTCTGCTACTTAGGTCCAACCATGTCTTTTTTATAATTTTTTTCTTCATTACCAATTCTAAAATGTTTGCATTAGTTTTAAAATATAGACAGAGAAGCAGAAGGCGCGATCATTCAGATGACGGATCGTGCAGGTCTGACAAGAGGGAAGACTTGTATGGTAGATAAAAGTCATAATATACCGCTACATTCAACGGCAGCTATCGTGATCCACCCCATTGGGAACCAGCACATACCGCTCCTATTTGACGAAATATTCTTTAAGTTTAAGGTAGTATATCTTAATGTATCTTTTTTAGGAAAATACACACATGAAGTTTTTTTTTTGAAATGTAAAGTAATAATTGAAGTAAGGAAATCTAGATTAGATAAGTATAGGTTCATATTTTGAATTTGTGAAATAATAGGAAATTGGGATTTGAAAAAAATGAAAGTCTTAGGCAAAAGGTACAATATTCTTGAAAATTCTCAGTAAGAGGTCAATAGTAGTAAAACAAAAAAATTACATAGGAAGTAATGGTTTTCGATACTCTACTAACATGACGATGGACAGAGACTGTATTTTTTTTTTTAGAAAAGAATGGCAAGATTATTTTTTGTTTTGTTGTCATCTATAGCGATTCCTCAGTTGACAAGAACCCCACCCCATAGCAGGCGAGCATACGGGGCTAGCTACCGTGCCATGAGCGGTTTATGAGAGCGCTGAACTACCAATAAGCAGACACAACAAAGTGTTATTAGATTCATGCTCACAGGTAAATTTTATTACTGAATCAATGTTTAATGCTCTTTATCTAAAAACGTCACGTAGTGAGAACAGTTTTTTTGGTATTGGATCTGCTCCAATAAATATGTAACATAAAACAATAAGCGAAATAAGATTAGGAATGAACAATTTTGAAGCAAAATTTTCACGCTCTTTCGCTCTCTTTAGAAGAGTTGTAAATTCCTGAAATTCTTCAATAAGCTGATCCGACATTTTACAAACGCCAAAAAATTTATTACTGGGTACAGAAGCTTTCTTTTCACTTCTAGTAGTAGGCCAAATAAAACTTGGTGAGAATTTACGGACTTTACAAAAAACCTTCTTTAGCTCGATTATTTCAGGAAAATATTGTTCTACTAAAGATTTCAGAATTGTTTCATCCCCTTGTGTTCTCAAAATATGGTACATGTAATTTATTTAGTTCATTATAAGTTGTCTTTTTGCTGATTATTTTTGTTAATAATTATGTTTATAAAATATGTGTCAATGTACGTTATTTTTTGCTTATTATAAATTTATTGTTCTACAGCAGGGCATACGTGGACTATTTATGTAAGTCATAAAATTATTTTGCACGTTTGTTTATTATTTTTAGGTGTTAATTTTAGTAAGTAGCTTATAAGCAATTATTATAAAAAAAATGTGTATAAATCGACAAATGTGTGGTGCGTGTCGTGCTTAACCGGAGATATTTAATTTTCGAGCCATATTCCTGTCGCCCAACTTCTCAAGCTCCTGGAAAAACGTTTCTCTTCCCTTCTCTTTCGCTAATATCGTTCTTTAGCCAGCCACTTCTTCTGCAACGGTACGCATACAGTTGGAGATGTAATTCCATTGAGTGCATATATCGGTTTCTTCAGATAAATATTCCAGATGCTGAGTCATTAGCTGTTTATTGTGATTGCAGCTTTTCGACGTCTGGCTTTCGATGTGCTTGTTCACGTACCTTTTGAATCGTACATAAATGTATACGGATCTTTGCTGCAACAAGATAATGATCCGAGTCGATGTTGGCTCCTCGGATAGTACGTACATCCAAGACACTGGAAGCATGCCTTTCGGCTATCACAACGTAATCAGTTTGAGATCTTGTGTTTTGATCAGGTGATAGCCATGTTGCCTTATGTATGTTGAAATGCTGAAATCTGGTGCTACTAACCACCATGTTTCTGGTAGCGGCGATATTAATCAGCCTTCTTCCATTAACAGGAGTTTTTGTATGAAGGCTGAACTATCCGACAGTAGCAACAAAGATACCTTCTTTACCCAACTTTTTAAACGAAATGTAAGCCTTTCGTTTATTGGTGTAAATGTTGAGACCAAATTTCTTAACCTTCGGCTTACCGCAAATCCGACTCCAATTTCGTGCTTTGTTGCATGGCAGCTGTAGTAGATGTCACAATGTTCTCATTTAGAGCATCCTTGTCCCATCCATCGCATTTCCTGGAGGCCGGTAATGTCAGTCTCTTATTCTTGAGGATATTTACCACCTGTATAGATGCACCTTCTTTGTAAAGGGTTTGGACATTCTAGGTGCATATTTTTAAATCGTGTTCCTTATAACGTTTGCGATTGTCGTCATCAGTAAATCGTTTTCTTATCCGAGGCTGCCTCTGCGTTTTTATTGAAGGGTGTTTTTGAATGATGAGTTCCAAGCCCGACGCATAACCTCATGTATCCATGAGGAGGATTTCACTGCACACATTAGTTCACTGCACACGGATGACTGCAACTATCCAACTTGAAGAGAACAATGACAAAAATCGCGAGGACAATCCAACACTTTACCTTGTGTGCCGCGTATCGTCCCAGAATTATTGTCATCAAAATGGTTCAAAGGATCTTTATTCCTAATGTTGCCTTTGCCAAGCTAGCCAGAACATTCAATAAATCAACTAACGGTTGAGGAACGGGAATGAATTTTGACGAACCGATTCCAACTTATCTTAAGATCCGGGGAAAATTCTAATATAAATCATACATATTCATTTGTTTCGCTGCTAAGGCTGTGCATATTGAAGTAGTTTCCGAGTTATGGAACGATGTTTTCATTGTTGTTTTAAAACGATTTAGCAGTCAAAATGGCTTACCAAGAAAAATCTACTGTGATATTGCCACAAACTTTGTAGGCACTGATAAAAAGCTGAAAGAATTTCATAATCATTTCGATGATGCTAATTACATATCAAATATAAATAATTTTTGCATTTCTAATGTCATTTAATTTTGTTTCGTCCCTCCTACAGCTTCACATTTCCATGCCAAATGGTATCTGTCCCGTACGTTACATGGAGCCAAAATGATGTTTGAGGAGTTGACAACTGCATTAGCGGAAATAGAAGCAGTCATGAATCCTCGCTCTCTTGGTGCGGCATCTACTGATCCCAATGATCTGGTAGTCATTACTCCTGGTCATTTTCTCATTAGATGTCCGCTCAGAAACATTTCTGAGCGTGCTTAACTAAAAAATGACATATCGCACATTCAAAGATGGCATCTTATAATGACAGTAAAAGAAGCATTCTGGAAACGATGGCAGCGCGAACTTAGGTATATAAAAGAACTACAACAATGATACCGATGGAAAAAGCAAAACGATAGCGTAAAAATAGGCGACTTAGTACTAATTGCTGAAGATAATTTACCAACGATGCAATAGTTAACAGACCGAGTAGTGCATATTAGTTCCGGATCTGACGGACACGTACGTGTAGCGGATGTTAAGACTCAGCAGGCAATTTTTCAGCGACCCTTTACGACTTTAATATCAATTAATTGAACTTGACGTTCTCAATGGGGGCAGGTATGTTAAGTCAATTGTGTTGTACTTGTGTGTTAGAATGTACTCTTATACTTCTATTCATTTTGTTGCAGTCTTTTGCCATTTTGTACATATCTTACTCAAGAATAAATTAGTCGTATGTGAATCTCTAAAATGTTAAGTGCGTTTTCTTCTTGTTTTGTTGAAGCTAAAGTTTTTCCAATAGAGTTAAAAAGAAAAAACTATTAAACTAAATCGTTTTCGACTCTAGCATTCATTTATTGATTATTTCGATGTTATTCAAGTTCATATCTGAAAAGATTTCTACCCTTGACCTTTCAGATATATATTATTGTCCGACTAGGCCACTAATTTACTATGAAAAATGTTGCAACAGAAAAGCTACGTTTTCTTCGAAATGAGCAGCTCAGGCTCATGAGCAAGAGCCAATTCTTACGTGAGCCCAAAATTGGTTCATGAGCGTGAGCCCATAATTGGGTCATATTGAAGAGCTGCTCACCAGCGTGAGCCTTCAAGTTGCTCATATTGAAGAGCTGCTCATGAGCCGAGAGGTCACGAGCCGAGAGCTCACGAGCTCAACTGTTTAATAAAAAGCGATTTATTAGTTTATTTGCTTTATTTATTTTTATAAACGTTATATGTAAAAATATATAATTTCATATTAAAACAATATAATGAAACAATAATTTGAATTTGAAAAACAAATTTATAAAATATTATTATTTTCCACAAATAAACAATAAAAATATATTTCTTGTTTATTTTAGGAACTTTATTTATTTCCATATTTTATTTACTTATTATTAATATTATTATTAATATTTTTAATCTTTTTAATGACGTTTTCACAAAAAAAAATATTAGCAAAATCTCAAATTGGGCGCATAAGATCTCATGAGCCGCAGCTCAAACTCTTGCTCACGAGCGTGAGCCCATTTATAACTTTATGGCGGCTCTTGCTTGTGAGCGTGAGCTCTGTAGTTGGGCTCGCTCGTGAGCGTGAGACATCGTATGAAAAGAGTTTTTTGCCGGCTCATGAGCAGTGAGCAGAATGAGCCGCTCATGGGTGCGCAAATACGAACTCTGGTCAAGACTACGCAGTTGATTTCGGTAGTAAGCGGTTCTTGAGTGGAATTATAGGAGTACGTTAGAAGCAACTACCAACAAAGTTGAGGCTCCAAAAAAGTAGCACTTTTATACTTAATAGGTATAATATTTCGATTTCGATTCCTTTATTACAAATGAGGTATAGCCATGTATTTGATTAAGTAGATGATTTTGGGCTACTTTGTATGTTATCTAATATAATTGCCAATATTAGCCATTTTCCTACCAGAAAATTTGTTTCGACAATACATGCGAATAAAAAAAATGCAAATTAAAAATAGTTCGATTTATATTTTATTTTATATATAATTTATTGATTTTTTAAAATTTTTAATATCTCGCTCTAAATATGAATTCGGTCACGCTTTAAGCTGACTATATCTAAGTAGCAAAAATATTAATTTACATTCACTACTTTGCATATAAATATTACATGTTTAAGGCATAGTACTGTAGAAGAGGAAGTAGTGTAGCTTGTTTCTATTGAGCATTTATGAATATTCTACAAGTTACAATACAAGTTACAGCTACAATATATATAACTTAAATAACAAATTCAACAAACACATCCTAAAAAAATTAAGAGGACATAAAATAAAAAGTACAGAGACATTTATCAAAAAGTAATCTTTTTTAATTTTTGTCTAATAATTATACTGACTAAGGGTGCGACTGTTGTTATGCGCTAGAATTTTGTCAGATATTGTTTAATTCATTTATATATAGTAAAAATATTAAAGCAATCATTGCTGAATTTGCACTGAATAAAAAAATATACGGTTTGAGACTGACAACAAATTATTTATTCTTAAGACATAAACGCTTTTGAAGAAGAAATGTTTGACATATTTAAACTGCACTGCTTGCAGCGTTTACTAATATTACTACACAGACTTTTTATACTATATTATATATATTTGCTCATATTTTTTTTATAAATTTAACTTTATTTAATAAGTATTTAATAACAACAACAGTCAACAATTGGAAGCACCCTGTAAATACGCTTTAGATAGTAATTTGCTCGAAACATATATGCTAACGTTATGTTATAAAACTTTATATTACCGACTAAAATACGTATTTATTTTCATATATATAATTTTATATTCTCACTCCTGTTGTGCAGTCTGTGGAGTTAAAGATAATATCTGCTTATTCTAATTCAACTTAGTTGATATCTAATCCGTTAAGCAACAAATGCACTAATTTGGGCGGCACATTTATTACTGCAGTGTAGGTATATATATTTATAGCTAAGAAGTCACTTCTGCTTACTCCTTATTCTTAAGATACTAAACATAGTTTAAGTTGCACTTTGTTGAATATATGTATATTGAATGTATAGCATTTATTCCAACACTAATATACATATTCAAAATGTGGTTACCTTTAACTCCAGTATTGTATCAAATTAATCTAGTTCGTTTCAAATAGGTTATAAGTAAACTATATATAAATTTATACTGCGCCAATGATGGTATAATACTATCACGCTGATGCCGCAGCTGATTTATCACACGTGGTATATCCAAATCCTGAAAGTAGAAATAACATAATATATATTTTACTAGTATATATGAAACTAATTCGTTTTAAATAATATTTACAATTTACAATTTTTGAGCGGCGAAGCTCATTTGAACAAATTAAAAACACAAATAATATTATATTAATTTTTTTTCTTAACAATGAACAATGAATGTTTTATCAACATTTTTGAATTTAGAGAAGAATAGCGTAAATTATATAAATAATGAGAAACAGAAATTTTAAAAACATATTGATCTATACGCAATACAAGTTTTGTTCGAATCACCTCATTATGGTCCAAAGTATACAAAAGTAAATCTGCTGTCAACGTAACACCAGAACGGCCTCCGCCTTCTATGCAATGTATAAGCACTGGTGGATTTGTATTGTGTCCACGAGGTACTTCATGTGTCGAAGCCATGCGCACTGAATTCAGTTCTTCCAGAAAATCCAAAAAATGATTAACTTCGCGTGGGCAATTTTGTTCAGCCCAATCGGTATAGTTTAAATGCCAAACAGAGCGATAACGCCTGGATTGTACGTGATAGAGACGTAACTTGCTCGTAATACAACGGTCAGTGGTTTGAGAAAATTCCTGATAAACTTGAAACTGCAAAAAAGGTAAAAAAAAATTCGAAGATAAAATATCTGCATGTAATTTGCTCTCTAAAACCCTGTTGCACTCTTTTTAGTTCGAGTTGTAGAAAATTTGAGTTATAGAAGTTTCAAGTTATGGAAGTTTGATTGTATACATATATACTTAACATATATATTTATATATATTATACATATACAGCGGTCAAAAAAGTATTCGTCATTAACTACATTTTTGTGAAATGTTGCAATAACAACAAAACGAAACAAAAAAATGATAAAATAATAATGCAATTTTCAACGATTGTATTCTGTTTATTTGTTTTTATTGTTTTTACTCCAAGAATTTAAAAATAAAATAACAAAAAAAGCAATTCTATTGTGGAACACCAAAATATAAAGCAAGTAAAGACAATAAAGTATTCGTCATTTATGCTACAGACTGCAATTTTGGTAAGCAAAAACGAGGAAGACCCATTTTTTTATATTTTCTGTGAAGAAATCAGCGTTTGGCTCCTTATTAAAAAGCGTTTTTTATAATAACGTTCAAAAATATTTGGGAAAAGAGGTCAAACCACAAACTATTCGAAATTCGCTTAAAATTTATAGTTATAGAGGAAGAATTGGACGAAAGAAACCATTTGTAAAAAAAATAAACAGAATTAAAAATCTACAATTTGTAAAGGCTTATGTAAAAGACCCAGAATCGTTTTGGTATAATGTAATTTTTGTTGATGAGAGCAAATCCAACCAAATTGTGTATAGAAAACAAAATACGAAGCTAGAAGAACGCAAGAACAGTTGCTACTGTTAAACATGGTGGAGGCGGAGTAGTAATTTGGGAATATATAGCGTCATCTGTGGTGTGGAGAATATTGAAGTAATAAGTGAAATAATAGATCACAAATTTTATATCGATGTATTAAAGCATAATTTGAGGAAAAGTGCAAAAAAAAACTGGGTATTGGTAATGATTTTCAATTCTATCGGGACAATGATTCAAAGCATTCTGCGTTAAACACTATAAGGCCCAAATTTTACATTAAAATATAGTGTCAGACACCGAGTTTAAATAAAACACGTCCGTTTGATTAAGAGTGTCCAGTCAAAACTGACTTTCATTTCTTTATTATATTTCTTACATTAATGCACTCCGAGAGCAACACTCATGAGAGCATGAAAAGATGCATAAGAGCAATGATAATAGAAGTAACAATAAAGCAATAAATAAAAGTAAAAATAACAAAAGAGTGACAGTTCGACCATCCTGATATTAACTCGTCCTCGAGTTTCAAGTTTACTATATGTTAATATCGTTATCTTCATCGTAGTCATCGTCGACTGTAGGAAATAATGAACACCATGGTTTCAGTTTGTCACTGCTAACGACTGTGCTATACCGGCGTTGTTTTCTTTGTTCACCCACCATGTCTCCAATGACATACCTGTCAAATCGCAGAATTTTCTTCACTTCATATGGCCCGCGATATTTAATGCCAAGTTTTCTTGATTCGCCTGTGCTTGGAAGCGTTGCTTCAATAAGCACAAGATCACCTTCTTTATACGGTTGTGGAGTTTTATATTTAGCATCGAATCTAGCTTTCCAAACCTCACGTGCAGCCTTAATGTTCTTTTTAGCATCCTCACGACGCGCGCTTAATTCGTGACCATCGATATTGATATTTTCTTCTGTTACAGCAGCCAACAGTTTATTTCCACTGATGTCTTTTAACGGAAAATCGTAAATTAGTTCAATGGGTGAATATTTTGTTGTTGAATTTATTGTTGTATTTATCTTCCATTGTAAGCAACGAAGTTTTGTGTCCCAATCTTTTGTATCTGATGACGTCTTTAAATAAGAGAGAATTGATTGATTCACACGTTCAGCAATACCATTAGCTCGTGGTGTGCGTACGGCAACTTTAATATGCTGAATATTGTTACTATTACAATAAGCTTCGAACGCTGAAGATGTAAAAGCTGTACCTCTATCAGTAACGATTTTACTGGGAAGACCAAAATACAATGTTAGTTGATTAAGTGTTTCTAATACAGGTTTGGTTTTCGTTGATTTAACAGCGACAGTTACAACATATCTAGTTAGTGCATCCACGATCACTATGATATATTCATTACCACTGCAGCTTCTAATAAAAGGTCCTAGATGGTCCATATGTATTACCTCGAACGGCACCCTCGGTATCTCCATACCATATAGTTGACATTCTGTCTTTGCTGTACTTCGATTATAACAACATTCAATGCATGATTTGATGTACCCCTTAACAAAATTTCGACATCGAGGAAACCAAAAATGTTGTTTAATACGTTTTATTGTGCCATCCACACCTGGATGACCAGCATCATCATGACAAAGTTTCACAATTCTCCATCGTATACCTTTTGGTATGACCATTAACTCTTTCCCATCATGATGTCTTCTATAGAGCCGATTTCCCTTTAAAATGAATTCCTTCTCATGCTGCTCTCGCTGTGTTGAATCGACACGTCCTTTTAAAATATCAATGATCTGTTGTAAATTTGCATCTTGCTGTTGCATTGTCAAAATCCAATCCTCATTCGAAATGTCAATCATCATTAAATTTGCAGATACATCATCAACTTCGCATGGCGGTTCAACAGGAGCTCGACTCATTGCGTCAACGTGAGCCATTAAATTACCTGGGCGATGACTTGACGTATAATCATATTCGAGCAATTTTAACAGCCATCTTGCGACTCGTGGAATCATTGGTGTTACTGTTTTAATACTGGAAATAGCTGAACAATCCGTAAAGATTTTAAAATGTTTGCCCAAAAGATACATTCGAAAACGTTGACATGCTTCAACTACCGCTAAAACTTCTAATTCATATCCATGATATTTGCTTTCAACATCTGTACATAATCGACTAAAATATGCTATGGGCTTTGATATTCCGTTATCTTCACGTTGCATTAATATCGCTGCAAGTCCAATACTGCTTGCGTCAGTATAAATTTCTTGTTCTTTATTAATGTCATATATTCCCAAAAGCGGCTCATTAGCTAACAATTCAATTAGTTTGAGGAAAGCATTTTCACATTCCAATGACCATTTAAAAGCAATATTCTTTCTCGTTAACTGTGTTAACGGATGAGAAATTTGTGCATAATTCTGAACAAATTTCCTGAAGTAACCTGTAAGTCCCAAGAAACGTCTGACTTCTGTTACATTTGTTGGTATAGGAAATTGTTTTATCGCAATGGTTTTCGTTATACCAGGTTTTATACCATTCTCGTCGACTTCATGACCTAAAAACGATACACTGCCTTTCATAAAATAACATTTCGATAGGCGTAAGGTCAATCCTTCATTGCGAATAATTTTCAAAAATTCTTCTAAATTCTCAAGCCCTTCTTGTGCTGTTTCAGATGCCACAATGACTTCATCAACATAACTAACCACCTTACCTCTCAGCGGTTCCATAAGTTTCATCATCATCTTTTGAAATACGCACGGAGCATTTTTGAGGCCAAATGGCATTCGGTTAAACTCATAGTGACCATTATGAGTGACGAACGCTGTCAGCTTTTTCGATGATTCAGCAATTTCAATCTGATAATAGCCTGACATCATATCTAAAGTTGTGAAAAATCTTTTTCCCGCAAGAGTTGATAGAACACCATCTACTGTAGGCATTGACCATGGCTGTTTTTCCGTTACAGCATTTAATGCCCTGTAGTCGATGCATAAACGATCTTCACCATTCGATTTCGGTACAAGAACAATAGGAGACGAGTATTCTGAAGTTGATGTTCGAATAATATTTAACTCTAATAATTCGTCAACAATTCGTTCCACGACACGTTGTTTAGGAATTGGTATGCTGTAAGGTTTTTTTGTTATCGGCGTTGGAGATGTAACCGCAATCTCCATTTTCGTTGTTTTCGCCTTACCAAGTTCATTTAGATTTTCGCCAAAACAATCATAATAGTTATTTAATAAATTACGCAACTCATTTTGTTCGTTTACCGATAAATTCTCGTTGCACTTAAAATTTTCAGGTGTTATCGCAAACACTTGACAGTTTCCATTTTCAATCACAACGCGACATTTGGACAATAAGTCAATACCGATAATAACGTCATATGCCATGGTATCATCTTCGACCACTAGCATTTCGCACTTGTACTTTTGTTCATCAATAGTAATTGACAACTTATCTGTCTTTTCGGAACACACATATTCACCGCCGGCAAAACCGTTCAAAGTTTTCACACATTTTATTAGTTTACATTTCAATATAGTGGCTATATTACGCTTAATTATTGACACACCACTGCCTGAATCGATCAAAGCGTTACATAAAATATTGTTTATACATATTTCTTTAATTATAATACCAGGTTTTTCAATCGCATTTACTGGATTTCGTTTATTACACGTTTTTGTGTCATGGTTTCCTGAACACATTGAACAACGCGGCTTTCGTTGCGGTTTTGGACAATTTTTCGAAATGTGCCCATTTTCCCGACAATTATAACAAACCGGTCCCGTTTTTACCACACGAGTTACACTGGAGTCACTGTTATTTTTATTCGGCATATATTGATTATCATTGTAACGTACTACTGGTCTTCGTACACTTACATTACTGTTCTGTAACGACCGCACAAAATCTGAGCAATTTTTAAATTGCATCGCAGATAATGTCTTCCGCAACCCGTCGTCATACAACCCGATGGTTACATATCTTATGACCACTTGGTCTTCGAGTTGTCCGCGGCGTCCAATAGCTAACATTCGATAATAGTACTCAACAACGCTTTCATTTTTTCTCTGCTGATTGCTCATTAACTGCATATGAATATCAGCAGCATTTAAAACACACGGAAAATCATTTAAGAATGCGATCACAAATTCACCCCAGCTACGAAATACTGGTTGCGAATCAATCCACAATTTTGCGGCACCTCTCAATTTACTTCTTATAGCAAATAGAACAATATGGTCATTCCATTGGTATGCATTCTTTAATTGCTCAACACTTTGAACAAACTGCACTGATGTGACGTCATCACTGTTGTTGTCGAATGACGGCAAAGCATCTATAATTTCTCTTATATTACAGTAATTACTCGCACTCTGCATTGCCATAGCAACATTCGAATTCATATTTGTTTCATACTGCATACGCACATTGGTTTGATCTTGTCTGTTCTGCATGTACGGTGCGTATTCTGCTGACGTAGCAGCTACAGCTATGTTCGGCGCGATCAACGGCGACTTTTGCACACACTCAGGGGTTGAAAAGATTACTGGCGCCAACGTAGACGCATAAGGCATATTTATTACATGTGACGCTGGCAGAGGCCACACTGTGCTTGTTGATGCACACGAATATTTGTTCATGTATTGGTTAGGTACAGTTATCGAAGGCAAAGAAACACTCACTGTATTTGTTGTAGTTGTAGTTTGACTTGTTGCATGTAGAGCAGTATTCGGCACAAAATACTTATTCGCATTTAATTCCGGCATCGACGTCGCCACCGCATTGATAGGCTGTATTAATGACTCCAATGTCCGCTGGAGACGCAATACTTCGGCTTTCAATTCCAAAACGGTGGTGTTTTCGTTTGCCGTATTAACATCGGCGACACTTTGTTTCTCCTCATCATTATGTTCATGCAATTGCGTTTTCACATTACTTTCCTTTACCGAAGGAAAATCATCCAAGTCAATTGCATTTCCCATTGTGTTCGAATCCATTATTTTCATTAATAACTGTTTACACTTATTACCAATAAATTATTATTTGCACTCTTTATTTTAAATCCCACTTCTGAATTTGTCAGACACCGAGTTTAAATAAAACACGTCCGTTTGATTAAGAGTGTCCAGTCAAAACTGACTTTCATTTCTTTATTATATTTCTTACATTAATGCACTCCGAGAGCAACACTCATGAGAGCATGAAAAGATGCATAAGAGCAATGATAATAGAAGTAACAATAAAGCAATAAATAAAAGTAAAAATAACAAAAGAGTGACAATAGGCTCACAAATTTAATTAATAGTATAATGAGTTTTTTTATAATGAGTTTTAAATCCACTTAATAAAACATATTTCTATATTCAATAAAATTTTTCTGCAGTAACACCTATTTTTGACCCTGTAAATTACATATCAAAGACAAACATTTTTTATAAATGAATGACCCTGTAAAGTAAAATATGTTTTGATTAGTTTTTTTGCCGCTAATAAAAATTAGTTAAATTTGTTGTAACTATTTCTCTTGTTTGTCTGCATAAACAAATTTAAGAAAAATATTGTGCACGCATTTTTTATGTGATGCAGTTATTTTTGTTGAATTTGATTGCAATGCGTACAACAATAAGAAATTTGTTTTGACAAATTTACGGGACTTTGTTTATTTGAAAATAATTATTGTTTTTGTATGTAATGGAAGGAATTTCAAATAAAAGGGCAGCGAAATTGCCAAATCTTTCTATTTGGAATCTCTTTCACTTCAAGGTAAGTCACTTTTATTAGGGATAATAGTGGGAGCTCGGACTAGTTGGTCCAGGCATATGTTGATTCGTTTGGCCATTGCTGACGATCACCATGTGAATGGATAAACTAGTTTGGGTGAAGTGATAATGGTTGAATTACCTTCTGCTTGGCTTATGCTGGCATAGGGTAATTTAACCAGTTGAGTTACCTTCTGCTTGGCTTTTGCTGGCGTAGTAATTTAACTAGTCATCCAGACTTCCATTTGGCCATAGCTGATGGAGGAATGGGCGACGAGTCACCAACACTGTCAGGAGGCGTGTGGACAACGAGCGTTTGGCAATTGCTGACGGACGTGGCCAGGCGTAACAGTAGGAAGGAACCCTTGTCTGGCTTTTGCTGACAAAGGTATTGCTTTATATTGATATTAGAGTTTCTAGAGGTTACCTATTTGGAATTTCTTTCACTTCAAGGTTAGCAACTTGCGCACCACTGCAAGCAATCGTCATACGACATTTCACAACATTCTACACCGTTTACAACATCGTGACAACGTTTATGACATCATACAACATTTCACAACATCCTACACCGTTTACAACATCGTTACAACATTTATAACACCATACAACATTTTACAACATGCTACACCGTCTACAACATCATTACAACATTCTGCATCATTAGCAACATTTTCAACATCGCTTTCCACAACTTGATTATATTTTCTTTTTTTTTGTTAAATAATAAACGCTACTTTAAACAGAAGTGTCTCTATTATTTTACTTAGATAAATTTTCTTATAACGAACCCTGGTATACTCGCTGAGTATACCCCAGCTGTAGATAGGGCCGAAAAAGGTTGTTACAACACTAAGCTTTGGTTATTATATAACTGCCAATAAGTGATAAAAAAAACACCATCGCAATATCTGGACTTAAACCCCATAGAACATCTTTGAGGTCATTTGGAGCTTAAATTAAGAAAACACAGCTTTTCAAACAAGCAACAAAGGCAACAGATTGTAATGGACGAATGTTTAATAGAGGTAATAAAATGTAAAGAAAGTATAACAAAATATTAAATTACAGTTATTGTTATCAAAATCGCAGTCTGTTGCATAAATGACAAATACTTTTTATACTTTGTACAGTAATCCCTCCTATAACGCGGTAGATTGCTTCCACGTTATAGGGTTATTCCCGTATATCCCGATACATACGTGCAAAGGTACGCGAAGCTAATTATGAACTGTAAAAATCCCCGCATTATATGGGGGAATGCCCGTGTTATACCGGGGATTGAAATCGCGTAATATGAAAACGCGTTATAAGGATACCGCGTTATATGGGAGATTACTGTATTTTGGTACTTCGCAATAGAATTACAATCGTTGAAAATTGCATTATTATTTTATCATTTTTTTGTTTCGTTTTGTTGTTATTGCAACATTGCTCAAAAATTTAGTTAATGACGAATACTTTTTTTGACCACTGTATATAATATGAAGTTTACTTTTTAAAATATACGCGTATAAATATGACATGTAAGAAGTGTATTGACTTATCAATCTTCTTATTATAAATTTGAACTTACTTGACCAAACTCAACGCTTTGATTTGTGTTCGGTGGGATATAACTTAGTTCTTCTGATAGTTGTACAATTAAGTAAACATCCGCTTCCCAGACGCATTGCCAAAAAATGCGTGTCGTCAGTTCATCGTGGGGAGACTGCGCGACAATATAGAAGCGCTGCTTTGTGCCAACAGTGGCCTAAGTACATACGCAGAATTTGAAATTACAATATCTGTTTCACTATTAAAGTTTACTTACGGAAACATAGGATGCATTTACATAGCCATGTCGATTTTCTCTTGTTGGAGTTAACCGTACTCGATTATCGTCGTAAGGTATGAAAGTAGGATCTGAGTTTTTGGTAGCATTTTCCTCTAGTAAAGCGCACTTATATTCTGCGTGTTCCCTTCGTTTAGGTATGCTCTCGAATTCCATAAAAAGCTGCGAGTCGTTTAACTTATCATTTAAAATTTGACACTAAAATTTAAAAAGAAAATAATATACATATATTCCCGTTTATAATCAAAACGTTAATGATCATTATCTTTTGCAACTTCTATTTTCTTCAAAGTCCACAACAGTTGGATATTAAAAAAGTTAAATATTAAATAAAATATGATAAGTAGTTCGCGGAAAATTCTCAGAAAAATTTAACGACTTTAAATTATCTAATATCGGAAGATCACGATAAAAATTGAAATTGTTTGCAAAAGACTAGTCTAGACTAGCTTTAGTCTTATATTTTTTTATTACAAATTGGTTGTGGTTACATATAAAAGTGGAACACACTATAAACAATATTAATAATTTCATACATATTTACCAATTTATCTTTCGAATATTGTCCCGAAATAGGTTGTAATTTAGAGGCGCCAGTTGACCAACGTTGCGGCAAATGGAAATCGTCTTGAACCAGTTTTACTTTAGTGGCTAATTTTGAAGTAGACACCTTTTCACGCCCCAAAGTTGCTGCTTTTTGTTTATCTGGAGTTTTACTACGTCTTAGTATGTTCCAGCGTTTTTTGCGTTTGCCGTCTTTTGACAAAGAGGTCGAGTTATGCAATGTCGTTCCAGTACTATTTAAAGTGGAATTAAACATTGAGGAAGAATTAGAAGACAAATTCATGGCACCGAATTGCTGTAATAACGAGTCATCATGAGCAGATGATGTATGTTGGGAAATAGATGTTGAGGATGCAGGTGAGACAACGTCAACAGTCGATATATTTGAAGTGGTTTTCAAAAGGTTTGTTTTATGTTGTCGTGGTGGTGGTGTTTGAGTTACAACGGTAGTTTGTTGACTACCATGATTAATGTTGATGGCAGGAGCAGCAGATGCAGCACGCAGAGCACGTTGTGGTGGTGTTGGATCTAAGAATTGCATTTCCGTACTGGCAGCACGATCCATATGATGTGCTTGTGATCCAAATTTTTTAATATTCATAGAAATTTCATCCAGTTCTGTTGCGGCATGGTGATGCTGGTGTTGTTGTATATGATGTTGATGCCTTGCAGCAGGTACTGGCACCGACACCGATACTGTTACCGGCACTGGTACTGGTGGTTGTGCGTGCATACCCCCTGGCGCTGATTGTATGGAAGAAGTGCGATTACGCATAGCATCGCTATTGGTACGTGATGAGGAACCAGATGCACGTTGTTCTGTGTTTCTTTGTGCTAACGGTGTGGTCGAATTATTTGTTGTTGTGTACTGTGGTAGTGGCACATTTTCGTAAATTGGTTCTATTGAACCGCTTATGGCATTACGTTGTAAGGTAGTTGGCGGTGGAGAGGCAGTGGTGGGTGGTTGAGTGTGCAAAGGTGACTGATTTTGAGATGCTGATGATGGCCGATAAACATTTGTGGGTAATGTTGGTGATTTTTGTTCATAGCTATCAAAAAGAAAAATCAATTTAAATTAAAAGTTTAAATGGTTTATGCTTGTATTTACTTTTGACTGGCTACTTGTGCAGCTGCTTGACTAAGCGCTGATTGATGCAGTTGTGACATAATAGATGGTTGCTCTTCAATCATGTTTAAATTTTCGAATGTTCCGTGTGGTAGATATGGTTGCGAATGACCTATATGGCCCATGTACGGGTATTGATGTATCATTGCTGTTGTTGATGAATTAGATATGGCACTACTTCCACTGGTGACACCTACGTATTGATATTGCGAGTTCAAAAAATTACGATTTGATACTAGATCCGGGGAAGACCCCGACACATAAGCACGATAACCCAACAACGGTCTATGCGAAGCTACAGCTAAATCAGGCGTAGATGAAGAGCTCAAACGATTTACTGGATATGGTGGAGGTGGTTTAGAACGAATTATTTGCAATCGTTGTGGTAAATCTACATAAACGTTGCCAGTATTTGCAGTCATGTTAGGTGAAATTGCAGGTGCTGTTGTTGTTAGATTTACATGATGGTGCGCATGTATAGTCGCTGCTGGCTGAGTTACATCTGGATAACGATGTGGTGTTAAATGTGTCAGTAACATTCCATCTGTGTAAGCACCAGTATTGTGCACATCTGGCTGAGAACCAGCATAATATGCTGGCATTGCTGGTGGCGCCGTCATTGCCAGGGCTGTTGCCTGATAGGGTAAATTATGTGGTTCGTTAGATGGTGTACGATATTTTAATTGCACTGCAGTTTCATAGTCGGGCGCTGGACGATATGTAGGTAACATAGCTTTGAGACGTTCGCGCTCATGGGCATCAGCCGTAAGTAAGTGATTATTATTATGACTAATAATGCTACTACTACTATGTAAATTATTGTTACTTAAATCTAAACATGAGCTGCTCTGTAGGCGTGTGTCCAAAATGCTGTTCGACAAATGCTGTGAAGATGCGTAATCGTGTGAGTATTCCTAATAAAAAAAAAGAAAAAATAAAATGTTTAAACACTCATAGTAAAGTAGACTTCCAAACTAGTAGACTACTAGTTTGAAAATATATATATGTATCGTAAATTACCTTAGTTATCCAACTCTGACCATGTAAATTGGTACCTCCATGTGGAGGAAGGACACCACCGCCACCACCTGACTGATGACTTGCTGCCAAAGAAATATTCGATGACATAAGTGCAGACGAATTCGTTGAAGCCATCAATCCGTGTGGCATTTGCTGATGTTGCTGTTGCAGTGACTGAGCTGAGATATATTCCTGATTGCCAGTCAAAGCATTTGTGGATGCACCTGAAGTATAGATGGCACGTTGCTGCTGTTCTAATAATAAATCTTCTCGTGAATCACTAAAATCATATGTAAACGCAGTATTGTTAATGGCATCTGGACCTATGGAAACACCATTTGAACTTTCAACATCGCCGGTGCTTGATGTATCATCATCAATATATCGTTTAAAAAATTTATGTTGAGTTATGCATAGCTTCCAGAAATAACGAGCCGTCTCAGCTTCTGAAAATATAAATGAACCAACAATAGAACCATCGGCCTTGTTCTGCTCTATTTTAATAGTGCGTTTATCGATAGTTGCTGTATGAAAGTCTTTCCACGGAAAATACTGCCGGCCATTTTCTGCATTGACTACCATGCCATTTATAGCTAAACCAAGTACCAAGTCATTACCTAGTGTGTCTTTGGCTTGGAAACGTTCCTGACCATAACCTTCCAGCTGCTGACAACACTGTATATACATTTCTTCGGCTTGGGTTTGAGTCAAGTGCTGTATGCCAGCATTTTGCTGCAACACTTCAATAATAAGGCTATCTAAGAGACTTTCATCGTTAGCGAGTCCTTGCAGATTTTTGGGCAAAGCAATTGATTTTTTTAAATAGTCCTTAGTTTGTTTATCATTTTGATAACTATCATATTCTGCTTGTCGACAATAAAGCGCTAAGAGAATAGCTGTACGTATGTCGCAGGCAATTTTTCCTTCGTATATATCACTTTTTAGCTGCAGAAAATAATAATAACGCACCTCGTCACTCAAATGACGTACGCCTGTGGTTACATAATGCCGTACGCGCAAAAATATTTTTGTTCCCGCAGCATATTTTTCAAGCTGACGACTTAATGAACGATCCAAGTCGATCCATTTCAACTCATTCTCCTTGCCCTTCACAATATAGCGTAAACCAAAAAACTCAGGCTGTTGTATTGACAAACGCTGACATACATTGTCCAGACATTCTTGACCCTTGCTCTCCGAACTAATGGTGCAATCAACTGTAGTCGATGTATCTGCAAAGCAGAATAAACAAACAAATTAGGTTTAAATTATAAAGCAATGAAATCATTTAAGTAAAGTACGTGTTTAGTGAAAATGAAATGGATATGAGAACTGTAATGAGGCAGTTTTACGATCTATGCATATCGAATGTAGAATTGTGTGCCTCAACTTCTCAGTCTCCGACACATAAGCATGATAACCCACCAACGGTCTATGCGAAACTACAGCTAAATCAGGAGTAGATGAAGAAATGTTGAATACCTTAATCCGCTATTATTAAGAGAATGTAACTTAACCCGCCTGGCGAGAAAGTGAGATATGTTAGATGTAATAAGTGAAGGAATACAACCAAATATTCTTTTATAGATTTCCAATGATAGATAATAATGTTTCATTTTGCGAAACAAAAACATATACAAGAACATTAAGAAGTATAGATATGAAGTTCCAATTCTCTCCGAATTGGTGAAATAATAATTTATGGGGAGGTAAGAAATTGTTTTTCCATTAAAACTTATAATAATTTTATTGCTAAGATAACACTTAAATGCAGGTATAGATTATGTTAATATATTAAAGTATATATAGTGGCATTAGAAGTACCTTTTATCATTCAGAAATTTAGTTTAACCACATGTGTCCATCGTTTTATTTGTGAAAGAGATATTTAAAGCTAGGTACATAGCACTTGAGATCTAATAAAAAACATACAACATTCTCTATTATTTTATTTAATTTTTTTCTATGTGAATAAAGGTGGATTTAACTAAATTTGTTAATTCATTAATCAGTGTACTTCAGGGAATCTTCAATATTGTTTTAAAATGATGGTGAACAAACTTTTATTGCGATCAATTCTTTTTATAATGATGTGAGCGAACAAGTCGACAAGATTTGAGTGTAGTTAATACCGCTGATTGCCTCCAATTTGATGAGTGATTAGTTGTGTTAAGTATCGCCAACCACGCATGTCACGCTCTTTATCTCTAAACTTATTTATTTACATTATAGTGAATCATTTCACAATAATAAAAATTGTATGTATGACAAATAGAATTACACGAATCGACTGCGTCCGTACGTCTGTTAAGTCACATACCATGAAAAGTTTTCCTTCCCGATAGAAATACAAATTATTTATAAATCAAGAGAGACTCTGCATATAAAATGAAGGAAAAGCATTTTCGACAACACAGAACCAGAAGCAGAAAAATAACTTCTAAACAACAAGTACTCATTATGGAACATTCACTTAGTCAGACAGTCAGACACATTTTTTCAATAACAAATTGACTTTTTGACTTATTTAAACAAAAAAAAAAAACTTTTTTTTCAACAGTCCATTGCAGCTGTTGACATATGCGAAGGGACCTGCCAATTTGATTTCATCTGTAATTATTTACGTTGTTGTGAGTTCGAACATGTCCAATTCTCACTTGGCATCAATTCTGGCAGCGTTTCGAAGTGGGCGTCGTATTTGAACGCATTGGTCACAATTACAGTGAATAGGCTTTTGTTACTTCTCGGTTAATTTCTTTAATTAAGCACTTTTAGAATGCATTTTAGAATGTACATAATCTGCGGCCCATACAAAACGTTTTGTTACGCTTTAATTGAAATTATATATGGAGACGTGAGATTTTGATGAAACGTAGACAAAGGCGAACAAAGACCGACCAAACTAAAACATAGAGCACAGCAGTTGCTAATCGATTGTGTATCATGAATATTTACAACTGTATTGTCAATTCAAAAAGCTGGGAATGCAAATAAGGAGGATAGGAGGACAGCGGGTAAGCCAAAGAAAAGATTACATGCTCTATCAAACAAAAATGCTTTATTCGACGCAACAAAAACTGAAGTTATAAGACTTGTTTTCTGAATCGCCGGAAACGGATATGTTGATTCTCTTTTAAGTAACTGAATATCATAATACGTTAGAAGTAATGCATATTTTCCTTTTTTAAAAAATTCCATCAAATCGTGTGAGTGACGCTTCTTTATAGTCAGTTCAAAGTAAGGTCTGAAGGCTGCTCTTAGTATAGAAACTTCTCAATACGTGGACTGCTTTTTAAGCGCCTAGCGCCTAGGCAACACTAAGTATTACCAGATGAATTTTCATATTTCTGTGCGAAAATTTGACATTTTCTACCATAAATGTCATAACAATGTTTCGTAATTCTTAATTGTGTCTCAGAGAAAAAATTGAATCGATCAACTTAGTTCGACATTTGGTTTTGAAACACCATATCCAGTGACTGTAGAATGCGATTCCAAGAACGGTCAGGTCTGCGTCTCTGAGCCACTCGTCAATTTCGACAACCACGTGCCGTTCAACATCCCTCAAAAAGGTTTCACAAGCAGGCCCGTGCGGATTACAATAATAACAACAACAAATGTAAAATAATTCTACGCCGTTAAGACATTTAAAACACTGGTTTTAAAGACACTAAATTCAGAGTTACAAAACTATTTCGAAAATTGGTTCAATCGAATGCAAAACTACTTAAAAAAACGATCAAATCATTTTTACTGATTAACCAAAGTGCTTTCATTGTTAACCCATTTCGGATTAACTGGTAATTTCACTTACCAGCACTTTAATCGAGTATATATCTTTGCATATAATATTTATCTTTTATATTATTTTATTGTATCAATATATAGTTTATTTTGAGAAAAGAAATTAAAGGAAATTCTCTTCCAATAAATTGGATCCAAATGGGAGACAATTTTCCTGAACTCCAAAATTGGATGAATTTAAAATTAAATAAAAAAAATTATTGAAATAAAATATTTGAAAAAACAATTATTAATTTCAATAATCGATAACCCTGTTTTATATATCCATACCTTTCATTCGAATACATTGAATACATTTTTGAGTATAGTTCACTGGTAATTTTACTTACCAATGGACCGAACTGATGTGTGCCAGGCTCTTAGTTCAAAAATTGTTCCTAATACGTGGAGTTGTTGTGAAAAATGCCAAAAGAAAATTGCTTAACACTTAAAGAGGTGATGTCTATTTTAGAAACAAAAAATAATAATGATGAAGGAGCTTTAATTATCTTCTGAAGTCAATACTGTTTATATGCCGCATAATGTTGGCGAAGTTAATGGTACCGAGCAAACTAATGACAATGTCATAGATGAACATGCTCCAGTTTCATTATTTATTGCTGGTTAGCTGGAGCTTCAATATCAGTCAGTCGATGAGACGAAAATGAGCTTAAAAGAGTTTGATGTGCCAAAGTGAACAAAAAAAATCCCCTCTTATGGTGAATTACCAGTAAATATTGAAGTGAAAGAATACAAACAATTATTAAAAAGTTAGGTGGGTATTGTACTAGTTTGATTAGTGTTACATGTAATATCTGATATAAATGCTAAAGGAGAGAATACAACTGCCTCTGATTGAGAAAATGAGGTATTAGCCATACTTTAGAGAGACAATGCACTCGTTACAGTTCTCACTAACCATAGAAAAATGAATCCACAAGAAAAAAATAAAAACGTCATGATCGCTCTAAAAAGGCACATATCACAATAAGGGTCTCAAATGCAATAGCGAAATAAAACCAGCTTATGGATGGCGTAGATTTGCACGACAACGCTTTGACCAATTATCGAGTATCCGTGGTGACCTTTGTTTATAAATTAATTAGGTAATATGATGGTGAATGCTTGGAAACTGCATGTTATGGTTTCAGCTCATGAAAAGCAGAAGCCATTATCCCAACTATAGTTTCGAGAAAACATTGTCAACGATTTATTGATGTACGTACCAACATCTCCAAATTCGGTGATAACTGAATCTATATTTGCCTCAACTGTATCATATTTTAATAATATTAACAATAATGTTCATTATTCCGAAAAAGTAGAAGGTGGTCCTCGATGATGCGTTGTGTGCCATACTCACACGCTATTTGAATGCAACAAATGTAAAAATTGTTTTGTTTTTTTTTAAAATTAATATAAAATTGTAAATAAAACACATATCAACAAATAAAAAATATCATTTGTTAATAATTTTGTACAATTTTGCATTAGACTTAATTGAATATATAAAATAAATCATTTTTTTACTTATTTGAATGAATATTTTTATTTTGACAAAAAATCACTATACGTATTGGCCCATTGGTAAGTAAACTTGCCATCCTACATCTCAGGAACGGTTAGTTTCATTTTGAAAACCACAATTTTCATCAAAATCGGTCCACGGCATCTGGTACCGGACCGTAATGCGTTAAGCGCAAGACTTAAAAGGTAGTCTAGACTATTGAGGTAAAAGAAATGTATAATGACGGTAACAAAAAAGCAATTCAAAATGTTTGTATTAAAACACTATCAACGGATGTTCTATCATATTGATAGGATGTATAACTGCAAATTTAATTAGCAGCCAAACTAATTAAGTCACTTTGACGCTATGTACCTTAGAATATTCGTACCAGTTTTAGCTTTTATCTGATATATAATGTAAAGTACAGGAACTTCACAAAAAAATTTTGGGGCATATGCAGAGTGATGTTTGGAAAATAACCAAAAGAACGGTTTTTCGTAAATAATAGGAAAACGGTACACTGGACAAAAAGATTATATTTTTGAATTCTATGGAAAACTTCATATATAAAATATAGAGATCTCGTATTTGAAGAAAACTGTAATTTACAAATAGTTTACAATAGAAATATTTGTAAATTATTGTAATTATTGAATGCCAATATAGGAAAATTTTTATCAATGTTTAGGGCATGGTTCGTATTTGCTCACTCATGAGCAGCTCAGGCTCATGAGCAAGAACCAATTCTTACGTGAGCCCAAAATTGGCTCATGAGCGTGAGCGCATAATTGGCTCATATTGAAGAGCTGCACATGAGCCGAGAGCTCACGAGCTCAACTGTTTAATAAAAAGCGATTTATTAGTTCATTTGCTTTATTTATTTTTATAAACGCTATATGTGAAAATATATAATTTGAAATTAACTTAGTTTATTATTAT